GTTCTATGGAGTGTAAATCATTCTCCTTTTCCCTGTGGCAACTCTTGGAAAGTCTTCTCTTCATTAAGCTAAACATACCCAGTCCTTGACTGTTCTTCACACAATTTAGCTTCCAGGCCCATGTGATTGCAGCGTGGGGCCCATTTATCACAATGTTGAATCTGTGTCATGTTCCTTTTTAAGGGTCCATCATACCTTTGATTCAGAGGTAGTATTCAGCAGGTTCTGACCAGTTCTGGAGAACCGGTAGTGGAAATTTTGAGTAGTTCAGAGAACCGGTAAATACCACCTCTGACTGGCCCCACCCCCATCCCGAGTCCCAGCTGATCGAGAGGGGATTTTGCAGTAACCTTCCCCTGCCACGCCCACCAAGCCACACCCACAGAACTGGTAGTAAAAAAAAATGAATCCCATCACTGATCCTGTGACTGTGGGGCATGTTAAACAGCTGCCATTATAAGGTTTCGGTTAGGTTTAGGTTTATTAGATTTATATTTATAAGGATCATCAGAAGTCCCCCTTGTTCAGTTCCATTGTGATTTCAAAGGATCGTTGAACATTTGGTTGCTCAACAAGAAATACCTACAATTTTTTTAAAAAACAGGAACAAAGGGAGTGCTTTTGTCCAGCATTCTATTGCCACCAGGTCCCCTGCTGAAGTTAAAAATATTCACTTTAGAACATAGTTTGTGCATATTGGAGCACAGAGTACCGCTATTTGGACTGTGTATTAGTCCCTTTCTGTAGTGGTTCACGCATAAAATCATCTCCAATGTCTCATCTTGGAGGCTGTTCTTCACACCACCCCGACACACTTCATGGCCAACTTTGTTTTCATGGAAGGCCGGAATAAGGTGATATTCCTATTTGGCCTAATTTTGCTTATGGCAATCAGTTCCTTAGCTGATTGGAAACAAGCATTTATTAAGGCTGCTGATACTAATCAGATTATCACGTCTTCATTTATTACTTGCTTAAGACTGTACTGGGTATTACTGGTACCTATTGAAATGTATCTTAATTATCCCGAGAGATCAAAACTTTAAAAATGTAACAGTGACAGCAATGATAAAAAAAGGAAATTCCCTTTCATGGAATAGGGGGGAAACCCCACTAAGAAAGGCTCAGCCTTTCTGAACTTCAGCAACCATCATCTCGTTAGTCTGGAAACTACCAAGTCAGCTACCAACGTAGGGGCACTTGCTGTGACAAAAGACTAGGCCTGCATATTTATTTGAAAGGAGATTGTCTAAACCAGTGTTTCTCAACCTTGGTGACTTTAAGTCTTGTGGACTTCAAGTCGCCAAGGTTGAGAAACACTG